CTTCCTATTGCCCTACCCCCAAGATCTGAGAAATCATTCTTTACTAAAAGCAGAAGATATTCTATCCTACGTAAGATACAGGAATCTTATAAACTGCCCCAGTCAGTCCTGTTTACAGACATGCAGAAGTGATAACAACTTGAACTACATAAAACTAATTTCAAAAGAAAAGAGAAAATAAGGATAAAAAGTTCACTTTCAGTTGATGAAAATGTCTACTACCCCTCACTCTCCCACCAAAAATTAACGGCATAAAGATAAACATGGTTCCATGGAGTAGAACTGAAAGTACAAAAATAAACATCTTTATGGTCAACTTATTTTCACCAAGGATGCAAGAAAATTCAATGGGGAAAGAAAAGTATTTTCAGCAAATGGTGCTGGGACAAATGGATATCAACGTGTAAGGAGACAGAAAATGTAGTGGTTGCCAGGGACTGAGGAAAGCAGAAATTGGGAGTTACAGCTAATGAGTACAGAGTCTCTTTTTGGAGTGATGAAAATGTTTTGGAAGTAGACAGTGATGATGGTTGCATAAATATGAATTGAGTATTTTATGTAATAGTTTGCTAGGATTGCCATCACAAATACCACAGACTGGGGTGAACTTAAATAATGCAGTTTATCTTTCACAGTTCTGGAGGCTAGAGGTCTGAGGTGAAGGTGACAGCAGGGTTGATTTTATTCTGAGGCCTCTCCTTGGCTCATAGATGGCTGTGTTCTCTCTGTGGCCTTACATGGTCACCTTATGGTCTGTATGTTGTCTGTGTTCTAACCTCTTCTGATTAGGATCAATCATACTGAATTAGGGCTCAACCATATCTCCTTGTGTTACCTTAATTACCTCCTTAAAGGTCCTATCTACAAGTACAGTCTTATTCCGAGGTACTAGATGAATTCAACATATGAATTTGGGGTAGGAAGTATACTTTATCCTGTATCACTGTAAAAAGGTAAATTTTATGATACGGAAATTATAGTTCAGTTAAAAAACTATTATAATAACCTCTTTTGCAAACCTCTCTTTAAATACAATTGAAAACCTAATTGATAAAGGTAATTTCCAAGGTAAATATAGTTTATTACAACTGTTGGGGCACCTGGGTGGTTCAGTTGGGTTAAGGGTCCAACTCTTGATTTCAGTTCAGGTCATGATCTCATATTTCGTGAGATTGAGCCCTGCATCAGGCTCTGTACTAACAGCGCAGAGCCTGCTTGAGATTGTTTCTCTCCTTTTCTCTCTGCACTCCCCCTCCCCCATAAATAAATAAACATTAAAAGAAAACCTGATACCTTTGATATTTGAGATATTCTAATTTCTGTAGAAGACAGAGAAAGATAACAAAGACCTACTTTCTGAAGAAGCACCAGGCCCATATGGTTCCACAAGGATATTTTATGAAATATGTAAACACCAAATAGTCCCAGTGCTCTATAAATTATTCCAGACCATTGAAAGTGAGTAAAACCAATTCTGTTTTTTAAATTTTTTAGTGTTTTATTTTTATTTTTGAGAGAGGGAGAGAGAGACCAAGAGACAGAGCAAGCAGCAGAGAGGCAGAGAGAAAGGGAGATGCAGAGTCTGAAGCAGACTCCAGGCTCAGAGCTGTCAGCATGGAGCCCCAGGTGGGGCTTGAACCCATGATCCAGGAGATCATGACCTGAGCTGAAGTTGGGACGCTCAACAGACTGAGCCACCCAGGCGTCCCTGAAAAATACCAATTCTTTAAGATAGTGCAAAAAAGAAATTATAGACTGATATCAATTATAAATACTAATTCAAAGTGCTAGATAAAATATTACTTAACAAATTCCTGTACATTAAGAAAATAATATACCATGACCATGTGGGATTTTTCTAGGATCACAAGGTTGGGTAAATATTAGGAAAACCATTAATAGAGTATTCCATATTGTGTGTATATATTTATATATTTTTAATGTTTATTTATTTAATTGAGAAAGAACGTGAGCCAGGGAGGGCAGAGAGAGAAGTGAACAGAAGATCCAAAGCAGGCCCAAGCTGACAGCAGTGAGCCCGATGTGGGGCTCAAACTCACAAACCGTGAGATCATGGCCTGAGCCAAAATCAAATGTTCAACTTACCGAGCCACTCAAGTGCCCGTGCCATTTGTATATAAGGAAACAAATCATGTATAGATACTTAAATGACCTTCAAAAATCACCATCTAGTAAAAACACCCAACAGATAGGTATCAATGAATATTCTCTTAACATCATCTTAATGGGCAACACTAAGGACATTTTCACTCCTAACATTAGGAACAAGGCAAGGATATCCATTAACACTATTAAACATTTTACTGGAGATATTAGGCAATGCTGTTAAACCAGAGCAATCAGTAGAATCATAATAATTAGAAAATAAGGCAACAATTTCTGTTTGCAGTTAAGATAGTATACCTGGAAAACCCTAGAGCAGGGATCAGTAAAGGAACCCAGTAGCCGAATCTAGTCACATCATTTTGTTTGTATATTGCGTGTAGCTACTTTTCCTTCCACTTGCCCAGTTGGAGGCTTGTAATAAAAATGGTTTGGCCCAGCAAAGCTGAAAATATTCTAATATTTTACAGAAAAAGATTGTGGACTCCTGATCTACAGAATCACTGTAAAACTAACTCAGACAACGTAATTCAGTAACCATTAAGGTATAAAATTAGCATTCAGTATAATTCAATAGAACCTAAAATCCTTTACATATACAAACATTTATCAGTTAATGGATATAGTGTTAGGGAAAACCCCAATTTAATACCAACACAGAAGATAAAATACTTAAGAATAAATATAACAAGAATTATACAAAAGCTATTTGAAGAAATCTTTAATACACTTGTTAAAGATACACAACTAGATTTGAAACAATGAAAAGACAGTTATCCTTGATTTATAATTGCCATCATGCTAGATGAGTTGATAGGAAAGTCCTATATGTAAAAATAGCTGGTAAATGTTTCAAGCTGTTAGCGTCAGTGAATCCTATAACTAATGCATGAATAGTTCACAAAGGAAGGTATTTTTACAGTCAAAATACCTCCCTACAAGACACTAATCACTAAAAGAAAAAAAAATCGGAATTTTACAGAAGAGGCACCAACTTTACCAAGTTTTCAAAATTAACATTCTTAACATTATTAGTAATAGGACAAATAGACATAACGTATCCTGATAGTATGTACTGATAAAAGCATAATATCATTACTGTGGTACAAAAATATGTAACATATTCCACAATTCAATGACCAATTAATCATTAATAATGGAGGAAAGAATATGCGATGGGAAAGAGACAGTCTCTTCAACAAATGGTGTTGGAAAGACTGGACAGCTACATGCACATAATGGAAATGGACCATTTTCTCACACCATACACAAAAATAAACTAAAATGGATTAAGGACCTAAGTACGAGACCTGAAGTCATAAAAGTCTTGAAAAACAACACAAGCAGTAATTTCTCTGACATCATACATAGCAACAAATTTCTAGATACGTCTCTTTAGGCAAGGGACACAAAAGCAGAATCAAACTATTGGAACTACATCAGTGTAAAAATCTTCTGCACAGCAAAGGTAACAATCAACAAAACTAAGAGGCAACCTACAGAATGAGAGAAGATATTTGCAAATGATATATCTGATAAAGGTTAGTATCTAAAATCTATAAAGAATTGATACAACTCAACACCCCAAAAACCAAAAAATCCATGTAGAAAATGGACAGAAGATATGAAGAGACATTTCTTCAAAGAAGACAGATTGCCAACAGACACATGAAAAGATGCTCAACATCACTCATCATCAGGGCAAGACAAAACTACGATGAGATATCACTACACATCTGTCAGAGTGGTTAAAATTAACAGCATAAAAATAAAACAGTCTTGGAGAGGATTTGGAGAAAGGGAACCCTCTAACACTGTTGGTGGGAATGCAAACTGGTGCAGCCACTGTGGAAAACAGTATGGAGGTTTCTCAAACAGTTAAAAATAGAACTACTCTATGACCCAGTAAGTGTACTACTAGCTATTTACCCAGAGAATACAAAAATATTAATTCAAAGGAATATAAGCACTCCAGTGTTTATAAAGCAGCATAATCTACAATAGCCAAATTATAGAAAGAGCTTAAATGTCAATCAACTGATGAATGGATAAAGAAGTGAGATATATATATATATATATATATATACATACATACAAACACACACACACACACACATATATATACAAACACACACACACCATGGTATATATATACAATGGAATGTTGAATATGTATATGTTATATATATATAATGGAATATTATTCAGCCATAAACAAGAATGAAATCTTGCCATTTGCAATGATATGGATGAAGCTAGAGAATACTATGCTAAGCAAAATAAGTCAATCAGAGAAAGACAAATAACATATGATTTCACTCATGTAGAATTTAAGAAACAAAACAAATTATCATGAAGGAAAAGAAGGAGAGACAAACCAAGAAACAAACTCTTAACTATAGAGAACAAACTGATGGTTACCTAGGGAGGGCGGGAGTGGGGGGTGGGTTGTGGAGGGATGGGTTAAATAGATGTTAGAGATTAAGGAGAGCACTTGTTGGGATGAGCATTGGGTGTTGTATGTAAGTGTTGAGTCATTAAATTGTACACAGGAAACTAATATTATACTGTATGTTAACTAACTGGAATTTAAATGAAAATTTTAAAAAAGGACATGGAGATACATTTCTACAAAGAAGACATACGGATGGCCAACAGACATGAAAAGATGTTCAACATCACTCCTCATCAGAGAAATGCAAATCAGAACTACAATGAGATAGCACCTCATACCTGTTAAAATGGCTGAAATCAACAAAAAACAAGTGCTGGTGAGAATATGGAGAAAAAAACCTCATGCACCGTTAGTGGGACTGCAAACTGCTGCAGCTACTGTGGAAAACAGCATGGAGGTTTTTCCAAAAGTTAAAAATAGAGTGCTTTCTTCAGCACTACATATATTAAAAGTGGGATGATATAGAGAAGATTAGCATGGCCCCTGCACAAGGATGACACTTCAAATTTGTGAAGTTTTCCATGTTAAAAAATTAAAAATAAAACCCCCTCTGTAAAACACACTACTGGGTATTTACCCAAAACCATTTTAGAAAAATGCTAGTTCAAAGGGTTACATGTACCCCTGTGTTTATTGAAGCACTATTTACAGTAGCCAAAATCTGGAAACAGCCCAAGTGGCCATCAGTAGATGAATGGATAAAGTGATATGTATATAAAATGGGATATATTCAGCCTTAATAAAGACTTAAATCTTTCCTTTTGCAACTATAATGATGGAGCTAGAGATTTTTATGCTAAGTGAAATGAGTCAGCCAGAAAAAGATAAATACCATATGATTTCACTCATATGTAGAATTTAGGAAACAAAGAAGCAAAGGAGAAAGAGAAGGACAAACCAAAAAAACTCTTAACTATAGAGAACAAACTGATTGTTCCAAGATGTATGGTGGGTGGGGGAATGAGAGAGCTAGGTGATGTGGATTAAAGAATACATTTATGATGAGCACTATGTAATGTATAGAATTGTTGAATCACTATATTGTACACCTGAAACTTCTGTAACACTGTACATTAGCTATACTGCAATTAAAATAAAAAGAAAGAAACTCTGGGCAGCTGGAAATGCAAGAACTTTTGCCATATTGTCATCTGATTGGACCAGCTTGGCAGCAGAAACAAACACATGTGGGCTATTCAGCGAACTCTAAAGGGGGCTCTTGCAGAGAGAAACTAGAACTGAATGACTCACCTGGAACACCTGCTAAATGGTGAAACTGACCCAACCAAACAAATGCAAAGGCCTTCTCATCTAGACCTTGGCCCATCCTGCTAGTAGCAGTGACTGGATATCACTCTCATTTTCAGTAGATCTGCTTTCTTCTGTGTATATGTGTGTGTGTGTTATTTTTAAGGAGAAAACAAAATGCAAATGAACTTATAAAAAAAAAATGTAACCTGAATTTAAACATGAAAACACTCCGGTTAAACCCAAACTGAGGGACAGTTCACCAAAAAATAGCCCGTTTTAAAAAAAATGTCAAGGTCAGGAAAAAGAATGAGGAACTTGCTTCAGACCAAAGTCTAAAGAGATAGGACAATTAAATACAATGTATGACACTGGGCTGAGTTCATGGCCAAAACAGAAAAAATTATTTTTATCTTATTATTCTATTTTTGTCATAAAGGATATTAGTGGAACAATTGGCAAAATGTGAAATTGGATAGTGCGATATTAATGGTAATTTCCTTATTTTGATTAATGTACTTTTTGAGGAACTACACTGAAATATTTGTAAAGGGGAATGATGTCTGAAACTTGTCAAATTCAGAAAAGTCTGTAGAGGGAGGAAAAAGAAACTGATAAAGCACATGTTAAGTGTGGGAATCTGAGTAAAGAAAGGTTTATGTATATTGTATTTAAAAAATAAACTTTTAAATTTTGGAATAATTTGAGAGTTACAGAAAAGTTTAAAAGATAGTACACACCCAATTTTAGTTTTCATTTTAAATTACCGCGGTACATACTTGAAACCCAAAAACAAATATTGGTGGATTAGTAGTAACTAAACCCCTAAATCTGACTTTATTCAGATTTCACCTCTTTCCTATTAATTTTTCTCTAGATTTCAGACCTTAATCATATAATGTCCCATTTTTTTTTTTTTTAAGTTCATCTCTTTTGAGAGAGGGAGAAAGAGCACTCGTGCACAAGTGGAGGAGGGACAGAGAGAGAGGTTGAGGGGGAGGGAGAGAGAAATCCCAAGTAGGCTCCACACTGTCAGTGCGGAGCCCAGTGCAGGGCTTGAACTCTCGAACCATGAAATCATGACCTGAGCCAAAATCAAGACGGATGCTTAACCCACTGAGCCACGGAGGTGCCCCTTAATGTCTCTTTTCTACTCAAAGATTCATTCAGTCCAGTGTATCACATTGCATTTGTTTGTTATCTCTGTTCAATGTCCTTTGATCTGTGACAGTTTCTCAGTCTTTTACTATTTTTCATGACATTGACAGTTTTGAGGAAACTGGTGAAAGATTTCTAAGAATATCCCTCAACTTTAGTTTGTTGTATGTATTTCTCATGATTAGACTGGGGTTATGGCTTCTTAGAATACTACGGAAATGAAGTACCTTTTTGTCACATCGTATCAGGGTGTAAATGCAATCAACACAGTATCTCTGGTAATGTAAGCCTTGATCTCTTAATTAAGGTAGTATCTTCCAGGTTTCTTCTCTGTAAAGTTACAGTTTTTCTTACTCTGTTTGGAAGGAGTCACTAAGTCCAGCCCAGTCTCAAAGGCTGGGGTGGGGTACAGGTTAAGCCTTACCTCCTGAACAGGATAATTTGTATGTATATTATTTGGATTCCTTTATAATGGATATTTGACTCTATTTATTATTTATATTACTATGGACTCATTTGTATTTATTTCATTCTTTGGGTTAAATCTCATACATTATTTATTTTATCACTGAAACAGTTCCAGCTTTAACCACTGGAAATCCTGGTAAATTCCTACAGCCTTTTGATATATCCTCATCCTTATGGTTTGTGAGCTTTGCCTTGGTTTCTGGTATTTCCAAATGCTTCTGCTTTATCTTGTATTTTCCATCTCCCAGTCCTAAATGGGCTATTTCTCCAGAGCCTGTTCCCTTTATTGAAGAATAATTTTTAGAAACTAAGATTTGGCACTGAGTGGTTTGTACTATTTTTTAACTTTATTATTAAGTCTGAAATCATTTCAAAATAAAAAGTTAAGAAAACAAAAAGTTAAGAGTTGTGAGATACATATCCTATTTATTATTCTTAAGTGTAGTACCTTACTTAAATTATGTCATTTACCAAATGTTATCATTTAAAATTGGTTGATGCTTATTCTTTCTAAATAAATATGATAGCTTACTTGGTATCTAGGAATTGTTAATATAATCATACAGCGTCAGTAGGACATTTTTGCATTTTATTTGTACCTCTTAAAGTGGAAACACTTTGTCATATTTCTCACCTCTTATAAAAAGCATAAAGGTCTGTGATTAAATTCATGACACTATTTACATAACAAAACTAATAACTGAACAGCCTAGCTTAACATGCATACATAAAAGGGCATAGCAGGGGAATAAAGAGGAAGAGCTTGACATTACTCATAAGTCTTTCAAGCAATAATACATCCACCCTCAACTTCCACTTCAGTGAGTAAGCATGATGTAGACAGCTTGGCCTGTTTGACAGGAAATTCCATATAAAAATATAGCATTTCTTGTGGAAGTTTATATACCTCTTTGATCTGTGACAGAAGAAGGTTACTACTCTACCAGATACTTCTGTTCTATATCTTGGAAAGCCATTTATTTATTTTTTAAAGTTTGTTATTTATTTCTAGTAATGTTTACACCCAGTGTGGGGCTTGATCAAGAGTCTCATTTTCTTCCAACTGAGCCAGCCAGGCACTCCCTTAGAAAGTCATTTAAGAAAATGTTTTGTTTTATTTTTATTTTATTTCATTTTATTTTATTTATGTTTATTTATTTAATTTTGAGAGAAAGAGAGAGAGAATCCCAAGCAGGCTCTGCACTGACTCAAACCGCGAACCATGAGATCATGACCCCAGCCAAAATCAAGAGTCAAGACGCTTAACCAACTGAGCCACCCAGGTGCCCAAGAAAATAAATTATTCCTTCCAGAATATAATTACAAGTTAAGAAAGCACAGATGAGGATATAGGTATGCTTTAGCTCTTAGTGACACTAAGAACATTTTAACAAATAATTTTAAAAAGACTGAATAAAGATAGCTGCAATATTTATGTACAATAGCATGAATGGAGCTAGAGAGTGTTGTGTTAAGGTAAATAAGCCAGAGAAGGACAAATACTATATGATTTCACTCTTTTGTGGAATTTAAGAAATAAATGAGCAAAGCAAAAAAGTGAGAAAGAGAAGCAAACCAAAAAACAGACTCTTAACTATAGAGAACAAAAGGTTACCAGAGGGAAGGTGGGGAGGGGGTGTGGATGGGTTAAATAGGTGATGGGGTTAAGGAGTGCACTTGGGATGAACACTGGGTGTTGTATGGAAGTGCTGAATCACAAAACTGTACACCTGAAACTAATATTACATTTATGTTATCTAACTTGAATTTAAATAAAAACTTTTTTGAAAAGTCAGCTACAGTACAACAGATATAATTTGTATGGTCTAATCCCATTTTTATATAAAATTTTTATACATGCATAGAAAATTTCTAGATCATTGTTAGCCTGCAGGTTGTTACCAATTGGTGTGTCATGAAGTCAGATTATTAAGTCACATTTTTTCAAGTTAAATAAAACAATAGAAAATGCCAGTATTAGTCAAATAATATAATTACTATTACAGAAACTTTTATTACAGGTGTTTATGTGTGTGACCAAGTGAGTTGTGGGTTATAATGTAAAATACATTCTTATTTTTGAATCTGGGTCAAAAAAGGTATTTTTAAAACATGGTTCTAGGATTGTAGACCAAAGACACTTAAGAGTGGACCTCCAGAGAGTGGGAGAGGGAATTTTGCAGGAGAGGGATTTCGGAAGAAAAGGTCTGGAAACTTTAACTTACTTTTCTTTATGAACAGTACAGAAAAAAGAAGGTGAAACCATGTAAAGCGGTGATCTAATTTTCAGTTTTCAAACAAACTTAGTATAATTCTGTCCAATTTTCTCTGCCTTGATGTATCTCTTTATATCTTTGTGGAAGCTCCTGGAACCTAACATGTACCCCTTTCCTATCACCTTGCTACTTAAACCTTATTCCTTGGGACTGGCAAAATGTGCTAATGGGGGGGTCCTATGTAATGTGTAGGAGGATATGAACCATATTAATTTTCAAGCATTCTCCCTCTCCCTACAAAGTCTGAATTCTAGGGGTGCCTGGGTGGCTCAGTCGGTTGAGCATCCGACTTTGGCTCAGATCATGATCTCACGGTTCTTGGGTTTGAGCCCCATGTCAGGCTCTGTGCTGACAGCTAGCTCAGAGCCTGGAGCCTGCT